TGGGGTGTGTGCACGCGCACGTATGTGTCTGTGTCCAGGTATTTAAAACAGTGGGAACAAATCGGCCCATGTATTCTTCCCTTTGTGTAAGGGAGCATGCACTCTGCACCTTGCTTTTCTCATGAAATGAGAAAGTTCAGTTGGAAATAGTGGTTTTTCACAATTTTAATAAGTATTCCTAATATTGGTGATGGTTTGTGTTTCTATTGAATATTTACTACTTCCTGTAGTTTGTTAGGCGCTGTGTAGTGTACAGAAGTGAATATGTTTTAATCTGTCTTCAAAGAACAAGAAACTTGTGTGATCAGACCAGTACCTGAAATTCTTGCTAGCATTTGTTTCAAGGTGTTGTGGGAGCTTGGGACGAGGGCACTAGAGAGAGGAACTCTGGGTAAGAAGCAGTCAACTGGTTAGACCTGCAGAGTGCGGATGAGTATAGACAGCTGATAGTCATCGCCGTAGTGTATTAGGTTGGGGTGACTTGGCCGTTTCGGATGATCCCGCAAACACAGCAGAGCTAACTTCAGGCAGGTTCCTTTGGGCACTGTTTGTTTCTGGCTGATTTGTTAGGGCAGCTTTTAGAAATTTAATAGACCAGTTCTCTTGTAGTAGCACCAGCAAACCCCCAGGTGTATGAATTTTACCCTAAATAGAAAGATAATAGTTAATTATTCTGGCACTCTGCAGCTTGCTTGTCATCCAGCTGTCTTTCTCCTGGGCTGGCCCGCTTCCCCAGCAGTGAGGTGGGCTCCAGTCTCGCAGAGTGAGGGTGCGGGCGAGGCAGAGCTGGAGGAGGATGTTGGATGCAAACAGCACTTTCTTGTCATCCCTGCGGCCCCCTCTGCTCCCCCGTGTCCACTGTCCCTCAGATTCAGGTGCTCTGAGGACTGTGCCTTCGTGTTGTCCATCTGGGGTGGATGGCTGCCGGCGACTCACCCCACGCTGGTTAGCACCTGTGTTTCCCGCTGCGCTGGCTCCTTCTGGCCATGAGTGGCCTTGCCTTGCCCACCTGAGGGGACCGGTATTCGGCTGTGCCTGTTCCTCTGCTTCCCAGCTTCCCGACTCTGCTGCTTTTTTTCTTTTGTTCTGTTTCATTCTCCCCAATGCTTTCTCTTGGCATGGCGTGTTAACGGTATTTGAGATGGGAGCAGGGGTGGTGTGTGTTTATAATTATTTTGTGTAATTCTTGTAAACCATTTGTGTTCATATAAATTTGATCAGTCTAAAAGTTTTCATTTTTGTCTTCAAATGTCTGCGAAAATGGCAACTTATTTCAGCAATGTTCTCAGACATTACCCTTTCAAGGGTCACCTCCAGAAATCTTCCCCCACACTTCCCTTTCTGCTAAGGCCTTTCCACCTTCCTCCTTTGTCTCCTTAAGGCTGTTGATACGTTTTCCACCAGTGTGTATTTTATTTTATTTGGTAGATGCAGAGATACACTGTCATCTTGCATTTCCTCTCAGGCCATAATCTTGTCTTCAGTTGTGCCCTTTTGGTTTTGTAATTGGGACACTTGAGTTAATGAGAGCACATGCATGCCCTTTCCCTCTCTCACAGCGAGTCCTTTTCTGTTAACAAAAGGTGCCCTTGTAAGGGAGTACGCGGGTGTCTTCTGCTAACAGTGCCCTCCTCGTGAACCCCAACAGTCACACACCATGCCATGTATGTTTGTTAGATTTTCTGTTTCTAGGGCTTGCCTTAGCCTTCATGGTTCTCCAAGTGTGTAGTCTTACATCCGCCGTGGAAGCAGCATCCTTAAGAAAGGGCCAGCTGGAAATGCAGATCCCCGAGTTCCTTATTCACTCAGAGACTGTGGGAATCCACTCAGTAGTCAGGTTTCACAAGCCTTCCAGGAGATTCCACTTTGAAATAAAGATGGTGAGGTGTGTTTTTTTAAAAGGTGTAATTTAATTATATTATTGTGTTCTTTTTATGGAAATTCTTACATAAATATTGAAATTGTACAGTAAATCAAAGTATGATGCTTTAAGAGTTGTAATATTTGCAGCATTTGTGTCATCTCCTTTTCTGTCTTCTGTCAACTGTAAACATTGCAGTGCATTTTCAGAACTTCCTGTAAGTTGCCACAGTAACTTGCATTTCTTGCATTTCTCTATGCAAGAAAATCAACCTTAATCTCCAGATACTATATTTTCTCCATATCCAGATTTCTCCCTATTGTCTTTTAAAGTCTTCTATAGTATTTCTGAAACTACAACCCAAAGTTCATACTTTGCATATCACTGCCTTATGTCTTTAGTACCTTTTAAGTGTAGAATCTTTACTCCTTTCCTACAGGAAAGTGCTCTTGTATTTTAGATTGTCACTGGGGCATGCGTTTGTGAGAGAAGTGATTGGTTGTGCTGCTTTTAGCCCTACCTAATTTATAAAATCCATCACAGCTTAAAGGTGTAAAGCAGATCAGCAAGACTTGTGAATTGGCAATTGCGGCATTGTCCACATTAACTGGCAAGTTAATAAATCAGTTCATCAGAAATATCTTGAGTATTTGACTGAATTAATCAGTAATGGGTACTGTTCCTGTAAGTGGCTAAACAATGGGTCCCATTTCATTAAAATACAGGGCAGTCATTGGAAAAAAGAAGGTAATTATGTTATAATCTTCAACTGGTCCATTGTGTTCACAATTTTATGTGGTCTTGAATCGGATGGTGTGTACTATCCATCTTTACACTTTTCCTCATTGTCTTATTTTTTTTCTGGTGCCAAGAATTGAACTCAGGGTCTTGCACTTGCCAGGCGGGTACTTGTGCCACGGAGCTATACCCTGGCCCCCCTCATTGTCTTTTAAGGGTTTTTTTTGTTTGTTTTTTGGGGTTTTTTTTGGTACTAGGAAGTCAAACTCAGGACCTTGTGCTTGCCAGGCAGTTACTGTCCCTGGCCCCCTTACAGCTTTTATTTTAACCTTTTTTATATTAAAAAAAAAAAAAAACAATTAAATTTTGGTTCAGTTGGGATTTAACAACTTTGTCTTCCCCACTGATTGTAACATAAATGTTTTTCTTGTATTTAGCAAGTATGAAAAGTACCACGCACTATGTAAATTAGATATGCTCCAAACTTCGCGTCTCTTGTCAAATCGGAATCCTAATCCTACCTGATGATGTTGGCAGTATGATGCTGGCAGAGGAAATAGTCCTAATAAAATTCACAGGGTTACGCAGGTTTCTAACGGGATACTAAAGTAAACTGGACCTTGAAAAATGAATAGGCGTTCACCAAAAAAGGAGGAAAATTGAGACAATATATTTCATAAGATATTTTTACAAAGCTTTTAATGCCACTTTCTGATCTGCAGGTGATGAAGGGACTATGCCAGCAGATATAGCGACATTACTGAAGACGTCAATGGGCCTGTGAGGTGAGAATTTCCTGATTGACAAGGAAGTATCAACTGGTGCACTCAAGGACATTTACATTATGATGACCACGGGGTTTATGAACATTTGTAACCTTTTATAATTTCCATATTGCATTTCTCATAGTATGGACAACTTTTTGCCACTAACTGAACTCTCCAGATGCTCACATGAATTTCATAAGAAGCCACAAACAGGTGGTCCTGAAGAGGTTGAATAATCATTTTACAAAGCAGTTTTCTGAGTGGGGATTAGTTGGTGATGTTTGTAACAAATATGGTAACGCTTTAGAAATGTCAGTATTTTTGTAATTATTTCTACCTCCAAATATATATATTGTCTTTCACTGGATAATGTGCGTAGATTTTTACATGTGCCTTATTTGACAACGCTTGCGTCTCATTTTTGCCTATCTCATTTGCAGTTCTTTTTTCCTACGTTAGTTTAAAAAGTGCAGCTAGATAGGATTTAGCCTTTGTTTTGTTGCTATTTGAAGCAGATGTTCACCAATGTCAGCAAAAACTCATCCTGAACCTAAAGGTGGCATTCCATGTCCGACATCCCCAGGTCCTCTCCACACTTCTGTTCAAACGCACATGTTTGGCGAGGAACTACGTTGTTCTCCAATGACTAGTGACTAGAGCAGTCCTCGTCCTACTCCATGGACCCCTTCTGTTTGTTTCCCTACTGCACGCACGGTGTGCTCGCGCATCTGCCTCCCCTTGTGCATGTTTTCAGGGATTCACTGTCCTGCCTTTTGTTCTCCTAAAACACGCCCAGTCACTCCTGCTCCACTGTCCTCGTCTAGGAGTTTCTTCTCGCCATGCCCTCACACGTCAGCGCATACCGGGAACACTTCTCTAGTTTGTCTGAGCAGGTTAACATGAAGCTGTCTGACTTGAGAGCAGACGGGATGTGACTTCACGTTACTGCAGCTTGAGGTGCTGCATGGAAATAGGTCATTAACTTTAACGCTTATCAGAAAATACGATTTACCAGTTTCCATAATTTCCAGTTCAGGACCACCAGAAGAGAGAGCCATTGTTCAATTCCAGTTCAGTGTGGGTGACAAAGTAAAATTTAGAATACAGTCGTCTATTTGCTATTTAACTCTTCATTATATCCTCCTTTAAACTTTTGCCTGTCAGTCTATATTGCTGTTTTTCTTATACATCAGTTTCTTTGTATAACTTGTGAGTTTCATGTGTTTTGTTTTTATTATGTAAATATCATTATAAATAAACTTATTTATAAATCAAAGATTTGGTAATTATTGTAGATCATACTTTTCAAGACGTTTAACCTGCTGTGAAGCTACAAAAGTGAACCCTCTGAATTTAGAAGGCAAGTGAAGCTCTGAGAGTGATTCTTTAGAGACCACAGGCTCAGAAAACTCACAGCTCAGTAGACTTACCAAAAGTGTATTAAATACACTGAATACATTTTAGCGTGGTAGGGCTGAAAAGAATTCTCAAATGTTAATACTACCTCCTTCTATATCACAGTACCCAAATCACTTGGTCAAATTGTTGGGAATTTTACCTTTTAAAGTCTTAGAATGGACTTTTCCTAACTTTTCTGTATCAATGTGTCTTCAGTGATAGGCTTTTTTTTTTTAATGTTGTTGTTATTGTTATATTGTATCTCTAATGTAGCTAGGTTCTTCCTGTGATGCTCTAGTATGTGTTGGGTTTAATAAAAACATTTGTGATCATAAGTTGTATTTTTACACCCTGTTTTAGAAGTTTCTAACCCTTCTTCTTACCTTTAAATATTATTATATTCAGCACAAGTGAGATCATCTCACGTTCTTAATGTTGTCATTTTTTTCAATAAATTGCAGTTTATTACTTAGGATGTTTTCTCATTTGTCCCTTCATTGGGCTGTTGTCAGTAAACAATGACTATCCCTAAAAAGCAAATAGTTATAGTAATAACCAACTAAAGTAACATCGTTTTAAAAAATGCAGGTCACCCTGGGGTTGGAAGTGTATCTAACACGTTTTCATACCCATTCAGGGCTCCATCCAGTACTATGTAACAAGATGGTAACTTCACGCCAATAGGTATTTATATTAAAACGCCCTGCTGCTGGTGCTGCTAGGATCATCAGCTAACAATAGGTGTTGCTCTTGTGTACAGTGGAGAAGAGGCTCCCGTAATCTGGCTGCCATTTGTATAACCGTTAACTAGCCCATAAAATGAATTACTTTAATGCCTCCCAGACTGCATTTTTTTCTGATTATAAGTATTTAAGCTGGTCTAATTCTCCTTCCCTCTTTCTAAGGAGGAGATACATACTGAATCCAAGTTGGTAACCTAAGGGTTATGATAATGTTAAGTATTTCCTTGTGGAACTGCCATGATGTATTTTATACTTGAATTATAAATCATGTGTACACTTCATTTTCATCATTTTGAATAAGCGTTGTATTTATTACACTTACTGAATTTGCTGCCTCCTACAGCTAGTCAGAATGTCCTAATACAGAGGAACCTGACCTTCATAAGAAAGAAGTTTTGACCCTCATTATCTAGAGCAGTAGCGGCGAACTCTATAGCACGTGCACCACAGTGGACTGAAAGGTTTGCCATCACTGATCTAGAGTATTTGAAATTTTTTATTTTAAAGAGAATAAAAAAAATTAACAACATAGAAACTGTATTGTTTCTCATTTTTTAAAAATTGTTTATTCACTTTAACGCCTTGATCAATCTTGCATTGTTACACCTGACTTTCCTTTAGATCAACTATGAGATACCAGTCCGAATGAGACTTCATTCTATCATTGGTAGCTACTAATAACAAAAATTTGATCCAAAGAGTCAAGGTCCTGGGAAATTCTGTTTTATGCGTGATAATAATTTATGAAGGATTTAGCAATTTTTAAAAAATGGTACATAATTGGGAGGAAATAAGCCCGTTAAACAGATCATAACTCATGTCTAGCTGGACTTCTTTATGTTTTCCTCTGTGCTTCCAAGGATAGTGCTGCTTGGTTGTATCTATTTTGTGACGTAATAAGTAAAGAAAATTTCTATCAACAGGCAAAGTAAATTTTGATGGTCCTATAATAGTTTAAAATGCATTCCTAGAGGAAGATGTACTGTGTTATATGAAAAATTCTATTTAAATGGCTTGTTTGTATAGGCAGTTCTTTCTGTAGCAGGAAAGAACTGTAAAAATGAGTGCAAGTTGAAATTGTGCAAAAGGTTAGAAATTATTGGGAAAATCATTACCTTACAGCTTTTGTCACATTAAAAATTCATTGTTGGTAGTGA